TACTCTCTCTATCCGAAAATTATAGTCCAGTTTAAGTTTTTATTTTTAGTGCAATTTGAACTAAAACTGCAAATCTAAACTGTATTATAACTTGGCGACAGATGGAGTACTAAAAAGTTAAATCAGAAATGTGAATAGTTGTAAAGGAGAAGTGTTGAGAATGTGAATAAATGGTATGTCTCGATATTTAAATTTTAAGAAAATCACTAACCGTAGAGATCGATAATTTCTAGTACTCTTACTATCTTAAAAAATTAGTCCACATTGAATTTTAAATTTTGTATAATAGTTATCCGTGTATCAATTTTTTCCAGAAGGTGTTACAACAAGTAATACATACTACTTTTGTTCTTACAAAAATAATTCACACTAAATTTTGACCATTGTGCAGGTTTTAACTAGAACCGAACCGGAACCGACCCGTCAGTTCATGAACTGGACCAAAACCGTGAGTGACGGTTCATAAAACTGTAACCGGACCGTCTAGTTAAGGGCCGGTTATGGTTCATGTCTTCAAAAACCATAAACCGACGATTTTGAACTGGCAGTTCAAACTGTCAAAAACCTTTGGTTAACCGTCGGTTTTATTATAATATTAGTTATTATAAATATTAAAATATTAATTATTGCCTCCTTTTCAAAATGTACATCCATTTTCTATTTTTGGTTGTATCAAATTATAGGTCTACATTGTTTTCTAATGCATTCTTAATTTTTTTTCCAAATTACCCTTGTCTTTTACGTGTTAATTTATAGAATCTCAATACATAAATACTTAAAGTTAAGTGATTGATCTAATTAATCATGGGTAAAATAGAATTCTTTTCATTTGTTAATGATTAGCTCATAATTCTTGTATCATCAAAGTCTATAAGTTTTAATTCTTTTATGTCTAGGTCCCTCTACTACTATTTCCACTTTTGTTGCTTTAAAAAAAAGTTTTAATTTCTTTTGTTAATATTTATATTTTTTTCGTTTCCATGGTGTCAATAGAGGATAGAAAAAATGGTAATACCAATTCATCAATCTGGATAAATTTTAAACATTGCCTTACGTATTTAGATTTGTTATTGATATAATCAAGAAAATACTCACTTTTCCTAAATTTAGTTAAAAATTTTTGCATTCGGTTTTTTTTTTTCTAGGGTAACAAAACAATATGTATCATTGTATACATATTTTGTAAATTTGAATACCTATGTTTAAAAACTAAATACAGAATTTCCATATTCTTTAAAAAAAAACAAAACACAAAAAACAGAATTTCCACATTAGAACCATCAACAAACAGGGGTGACCGGAATCGAACTTTAACCGAAAGTTACGAGCCGTAACCGTAATCGTAGTTTTAAGGGCCGATTAAGGTTCATTCAATTCTTGAACCGCGAACTGGCAGTTCATCAGCCGAAATCGTCGGTTCTTAACCGTGGTTATGCCTACAATGAAGCACTGTTTTCATTAAATGACTTTTATGTCGAGAACTCTGCAGTCTGCCCATTGACTTTTGGGTTAGCAACATGGCCATTTGAGAGATATTTATTGCAGACTCTTTTAAAAAAATTACTGGGCTTTAGTCACTGACATTTTTTCTTTCCAAGTTATATGGGCTTCTGTGAACCCTATACAATTAATTGGGCTGATAGATTGTGGAGTTATATCACTTATTGTAACATATAGTGATTTACCAACAGAAATTAAGATAGTGGGATGAGAAAAGTATGTGTACTTCTCCTAATTATTTTTTTATGTTTAAAACTGATTTTTTTTTTAGCAAACCAAGTTAATACTTAGGAAATTTATTGATAAAGTAAAATATTTTCCGGGCAGTGCGTAAGATTTACCCCGTACAAAGAGAAACCGTCACTTAATGACAGTGATTTGAATATTAGTACACTATATCAGGAATAGACTAGTACAGTGTATTAATGATAGAGGACAGTAATTATTTTCTGTCTGCGTGATTCGCATCTTGTGGATCATCGTTCACGGACTGTCGCATTTGGTGGGCATATTGAGAATCCGAAACAGTGAGTGATACACAAAGAATTGATGTCTCCAACTTGTCACCTAACTAAACCATAACCCAATACAGTTTATTTGTAGATCCGAAAAGCCGGTCCGATTTTTTGTACTAGAGAACCGACGAACCGATTTTTAAAGCCGATGAATCCGTAACCGGCTATGGAAAATCAGATTTGTGGCCGGAGATGAAAAGCACGATCTGCGTTGTTCATGAAGAATTGAGATGGCGGGTCACTCGGCATCTGAGTGGCATCAGATCGTTGCTTTTCTGGGCGGCTGGTCAAGGGCGTCGATGGAGTATCACTTAACAAATTGGACTCGAAAAGATACAATTTAACTTGATTTGTCTGTCTAATTCGATTTTACCAAAAGAGCATGACACTTCTACCCAAAGGTTGTGCGGATCAAGGCTTGTGGTCGACTTGATTGGTAGGCTCTTGTGTAATCAATTTGTAAGTGATTTTGAATTGTGAAACATGAAACAGTTTAGAGAGGCAACTGAAAACCTAACACTAAAAATGGACTTAAATACTTGAGAGACAATTAAGGTTGTGAGAAATGAAATTTGCCAAAGAAAGTGGGGGTTTGCACTTTGCACTATAACTACGAGTAAGACAGAAGAATTTGTGGACTGAAAATCATAAAGAGATTGGAGTAGGTTTTAAGCAAAATATTTTAAGAAAGAACATAATAGTCTAGACTCCATATATCTATAGTATTATACTAAGAGAGAAATCAGAGAGAGGAAATCAAACTTCTCCTCCGGTTGACACATAAGACAAAATCTTATGTGTCATTTTTTTATAAGTTGACACAAAAAATATTTACAACAATTACACTAACAGTCCTTTTAATTTTCAGTAAATAAAGTTTCATCGAATCGTAATTAAATTCTATCAATTAATTGGGGGCTAAATTTTCACTTTTAAATTCGGTCAAACAAAAAAAATGGAACATTTTTTTTAAAAAAAGTCAACATTAATGGTTTCTTTCCATTTGGTGCCATAAAGAAAAAGTAAAATTGATTTGATTTTATTATAATTATTGCTGATTGATTTGAATAAATTTTCTGATTGACTTAAATAAAGCTCCAATTATGGTTGATGACCTTACCTAAACAAACCATGGCCAATGACCTTACCTAAAAGAATAATCAATCTAAATCTTTTTTAATCGGAAAGTTGAAATCATAATATCAACATTAATGTAATTTCGAGTTTTTTGCACAAAAAAAAAAAAACTCAAACATATTAAATATGTTAAATATTTCAATATACATATATAATCCCGATTTTTTTTATTAATTAGGTTGTAAATTAGACCAAAAAAAAAACGAAACATTTTTTTAAAAAAAATCAACATTAATGGTTTCTTTCCATTTGGTGTCATAAAGAAAAGGTAAAATTGATTTGATTTCATTATAATTATTACTGATTGATTTGCATAAATTTTCTAATTGACTTAAATAAAGTTCCAATTATGGTTGATGACCTTAACTAAAAAAACTATGGCCAATGACCTTACCTAAAAAAATAATCAAAATTAATGCTAAATCTTTTTTAATCGGAAAGTTGAAATCATAATATCAACATTAATGTTGATTCGAGTTTTTTGCACAAAAAAAAAATTAAATTCAAACATATTAAATATGTTAAATATTTCAATATATATATATAATCTTGATTTTTTTATTAATTAGGTTGTAAATCAGACTAAAATATCTTAACATTTTGAATTTTAAAATTCGATTTAAATTATGATAAGCATTAATCGCGTTTAATTTTAGCGTTTTATTAAAAATTGAAATCTCTAAACTTCAGGGATTTTATTCGGTTAAAAAACTACACTACACTCTGGTGGATCACCAAAAAAATTTGGAGAAGTTCCAACTCAGTTTTTTCTTCCTTTTTTTTATAATTTTAATAATATAGTTGTAAAATGTTTGTTTCACATTAATTTGGGTACAACAATGTAAATGTTGTATCGCTTTACAGGAAATATAATGTAAAATTTGATACTGTAAAGGAATTATTATACCAATTGAACAATAGTAAATAAATATAATTTTTGTAAGTTTTATACATTAAAATTTCTATTTATTGGGAGAAGTTTTGTCAATATATATATATATATATATATTTGTAATAAAATTTAAATTATTTTTAAGGTGGGACAAGTAATGCATTATCGACTACATATGCTTAGACGTAAAAGGTGAAGGAAAAGTACAACATATTTGATTTACTACAGTCTATTTGGAAACAGAATAGTCGTTTATAGTATCAGTGGATAAAATGAGTCCTTCAAAAGTGTCAATTTCCTGAAACTAATATATCATAATTTCTTCCAATTATTTTAATTCTACAAAAATAAAAAATATTTTTTTGATACACATTATTTTTATCTTTGTACATAATTTATCTATCCCGCACATCATGCGGGTAACATCTAGTAAACTTGAAATTATGATATCAGCCAATTTCATTTACTTCTGATGCAGTATGACATTATGAGATAGCGTATTCGGCAATGTGAATATAATCATTTAGGCAATTTGTTTACATTCTATTTTTCGAAAATCTCTAATTACTTTTTCCAAATTGTATAAAAACCACGCGAAATTTTGTGATTTCTAAAATTATATATGCTACTTAATCTCATAATAGCACTATTGGTGTGCAATATTAAGAAATGAAAAAAAAAAAAAAATTATTCGTTGTGACTGAAATACGAATGCGACTCTCCCCATTGATACTCAAAAAATATTACTCGTAAACTAATAAATTTTAACTCTTTGCATCATCATCAAGCCAACAATCATCCACAATTATTCAAACTAAAATTAATAATAGTATTAGTGTCAGTAGACTAGGTTGATTACACAGCATTAACCATCCCATACTCAATGATTGGATGCTTTGGAAAGTATAGTCAAATTACACAGTCTCTGGTTTTATTCACCATATGACCCCTTTAGATTTCATTAATTCTAAACCAACCCCTAAGAATTTGGAGAAAAATAGGACCGGAAAAAGTCCAGCTTTGAAAAAGGGAACGTTTGAAACGCACTCTGTTCTTCCCAAATCATGTAGAATTTGAAAATTTTTCTTCAAAAAATTCAGATTCTTTACATTCAATTGTTGGCATAATTGATTTGTTAATTTGGGTCGGTTTGATATGAATCTGTCTACATCAGCTTCGCTCGCATCCACATCGTCATCGTCGTCATCTTCTTGGCTCTCCGGCATTGTCCGCGGCCGTCCCGGCAGCTTCAAGATGGCCAAGAATTCATCAAACCCGCCGTCCGCCGCCTCCGCCGCTGCCGTCCCGGTGGTAGACGGCGCTGGCCCAGTCAATAAGAAAAATCAGTTGCGAGGGGTCATGTTCAAATATGGTCCTAAGTCTATTCAGGTGACTGAAAATCAATCTCTTCTTGTCTCTCTTGAAATGAATTTCTGTTAGTTTTTGCCTTAAATTTAGTGGATTTATGCACAGCTTTTTCTTACTGTAATATCACTTTTCTCTGAATTCTGGTCGTTAATTTGATCTATTGGCTAGCTCTATAGTAAATCGTGGAAATGAGATGAATCATGATCGGATGTGATTTATCTGTGTGTTTTTATTTTTATATTCTTTCTCTGGGTTTTCTTTAACGGCACGGAAAGACGTGTTCTTGATCAAATCAATGATCAATTCCCGAAGTATTAGAGTACTAGGTAAAAGCATTAAGAGGATTGATTGAAATATACTCTATTTGGAGCTTAGAATGTGACAATGGCTTAGGGGAATTTGATGATTCAAACTGGAAAAGGAAATAATAACAATAGGAAGGAAAACCATCTTTTGTTGTATATTGTAAATAGTTTGACAATAATTGGATCATTATGGCAAGTCTTTAGAAGGGTTAGGAGGATGAATGCTTTATACTAGCAACTCGTGATGTTTCTTAGGGGAAAAAGAATAGACGTTTACTCTTAGGAGCTGTAATTTCTTCCCAACTCTCTTCGAGGATAAGATAAATGGGAATTTCTTAATATGCATATTCTTTATTTGGAATCAAGGCCTTGCAGAGAAATTGATCTTTGCTTGTCATTTTCAAGCCCTCTTGGTATTTTGTGCTTTCAATACTGAAAGAATTAAACTTTATAAACTCTCTTTCGGGCACCAGCTATTGAGGTATTTGGTTTATTTTTTTCCCTCAGACTGACATCATTTAATCTTACATCTTAATGGGAATCATTAACTTTAATTGTTTGCTGTTTCTGTATATACTTACACATGGCTCTAAAGGAGTTATACTTGGTGTAGGTTGCTTTCAAAACAGGTGATTATAGAAGACAAGTAATCTTTATTGGCGGACTGACGGATGGATTTTTGGCAACTGAGTAAGTCTTATGGTTTATCTATCATTCCTTGCAAAAGTGAAGTGAAGTAATGGAAGAAATTTATTCATTCAAGATACTTTGTGTATGAAGGTAATGGGTGGATCCTGAATATTGCGTGATAGGACTATGCTTTGGAAAGCTCATGCGCCTACTTAATTTTGATTGATCAGTGACTGTGCATACTTAATTTTCTGAATCACTATTATTTAGTTTTGTTTCTGTTTACAATAATATGCTGTTCAGATACTACATACATAAAGAAGTGTTAATGTCTGTCTGTTATTCAATACTTATCATGTGTATCTATATATGTGCTTCATTTTGAATGAAATGGGTGGCAATCTTCAGTTAGTGAGTTAAATATGCTGAACAAATATCTTAAGCCTTATTTGAATGTTTTAGCTCCTAAAATAAACTTTGCATATTTTGCAGCTACTTGATGCCGCTGGCAACTGCCTTAGAGGCTGAGAAATGGTCTTTAGTTCAGTTCCTTATGTCCTCTTCTTATAGTGGATATGGCACATCAAGTTTGAAGCAAGTAATTAGCTATTCCTGTCTGTGATCTCTTGTTCTTCTTGTTCCAATTTGAACTGTTATTCTTATTTCTCTCTCTCAGCTTGATTTATTCTGCTGTCACAGCATGAAGTAAATTCATTTTTAAGGTTGCTATGTTCGCTTACCTTGACCGTCATAGTGTTTGATTATCTTTGACTTGTTTGTTCGGATATTATGGTCACAATAGCTTCATCCTGAGAAAGTTCTGTATCTTAATATGAGTAAAAAATTTTCTACTCCAGTATATCCTTTTAACTTTTAAGTGTCACGTTAACCACCTTCTAATTTCAATTTCATATCTGGTTGCTGCAAGAACAATATTTTGACCAGTTATTTTGAGTGGCATATTTTTCTCCAAATTTTATAGTTGTTTATGATACAGGATGCCTTGGAGCTTGATGAATTGGTAAACTACTTGATAAACAAGGAAGACTCTGAGGGCGTAGTATTGCTTGGACACAGTACAGGCTGTCAGGTGACTATCTTTTCTTCGTTGTTTCGACTCATGGTACTATTGGAAATATCTAAAAGCATTGGCTTGTTCAGGATATTGTGTATTACATGCGTACAAACACTGCATGCTCCAGAGCAGTCCGTGCGGCAATTCTGCAGGTATTTTGTGTAATCAGTTTGAAAAAGTTCAATATCTTGAACTCTTTTAATCCACTTTGTTCCTTGCGAGCATCTAGACTTTCCTTTTTTTTGTTTGTTTAAATTGCTTTTGAAAGGTGGCAAAAGACGATTGTTTAAATTGCTCTTTAAAGGTGGCAAAAGATGGTGGATACTGTGCAATTTGAAGAGATTGTCGACCTATAACATCTTTTTGTGCTAGTTGTATAATTTTCTGCTATTCGTTTGTACACTTGGTGTCACGCTGACTGAAAAGTTTTAACTTTGAGCTTGGTCGTGATGTTCTTGGCTGTTCAGGCACCAGTTAGTGACCGAGAGTACAATGCTACTAAGCCCGATATTGCTTCAACGATTGATTTGGCCACAAAAATGATTAATGAAGGTCGAGGATCAGAGCTCATGCCAAGGACAGAAGACTCAGATACCCCAATAACTGCATATAGGTGACTCTTTCTGGATCTTATTTTATGTTTTGAACCTCGTATGGGTTGGTGTCATTCTTGTTGAAGTAATCAAATTTTTTTCACAGATACCATTCTTTGTGTGCATATAATGGTGATGATGACATGTTTAGCTCCGATCTAAGTGAAGATCAGCTTAAACAACGGCTGGGACATATGTCCCACACACCCTGCCAGGTATGTGATTGAAGAGGACAGTACGAATGTCTGCACATGCATATGTTCATCCACTTTTTTTTTTTTTGAAAAGGATGTTCATCCACTTGATAGACCAGGAATCACATTTATGTATACCCATTTCTTCATTTTTTTACTGCTATGTTCAAAATGACTCCAAGCACTATTCAGACCTGCAAAACTGATTTCATGCTGGGTATAATTCACCCTGGAATTGGTTTATTCATGAAAATTTAATGATTCTGTTTGCAGATAATTTTTTCTATGAACGATGAATATGTACCGGAATACGTGGACAAGAAAGCGCTCGTCAATAGGTAAGAAAATGGAACTTTGTCGCTTGTTTCAGATCATCTGTGGTTTGTTTTAACCATTCGTTGACAAAAATTTTCCCTGCGTGCAACTTTTCCAGATTGAGCAAAGCAATGGGAGGCGCAGAAAAGGTTGAAATCGAATGGGGAAACCATTCACTATCTAACCGAGTTCAGGAAGCAGTCCAAGCCATGATAAGTTTCATCACAAGAGAAGGACCTAAGGGGTGGGATGATCCATGGAGTTAAAAGCAAAACCCTTTCTTCATCTTTGATTACTGTCTCTTTTTTCTTTTTCTTTTAATTGTTCTCTACTTTAGCACCTGTAGATTGAAGTAATCATTCATTTTCCTGGAAGAATTTATTCTTTTATTACAGAAGTGTCATTTTTCGTTGTATCACACATCTCACATTGTATTGACAGAAATAGAGTGATTTTTTTTCCCCTTCTTGTTTTGAATGGTAATCCCTAAGTTGGACTTGGAATTTTTGAAGTTAAATCCAATTTCTTTACCATTTTGACAAGACTAATTATATAACTATATTTAGTTCAGGGAGACCCTTGCAATTGCAAGTGTTTTCTCTGAACGCTAGCAAAATAGAGAGCTCATTCCAAGCCCTTTTTACGCTCCCAAATGCGCTTTTCCTCTTTATTTTTCAAACATTGGAAAACATAATTTGCATGAAAATGACTCCAATTTCAGTGAAGTTGTTGACTGGAGTTAATGTGTCTTTATGGACCTATGCTTCAGACAGCAACAATACAACATAGTACTACTAATAGTACTGTATTGGGATGTGTGGATTTGTGAATTGTTGATTTTTTTATTTTTTATTTTTTTTTGGTTAACTTGGGACGATGGCAAATGGAGTAACTGTTTGTTTGATTTTTTTATGATTTTTTCAGTTAATTTTATTAATAATTGTCACATCCTAACACATCTTTTTTACATTTCTAACACATTTTTTTACATTTTCAATACTAAAAACACTTAAAAATACACACGAAAAAAAAAAAACGAAACAAACATACCCTTCGTTTTGATTTTCCCCATGTTCCATCTCTGCTTTCCTGTCCGCAGTCAACTCATCAGAGAAAAGAAAATTTCCACATTTTCATTTTAGTATTTAATGTAAAAAAAAAAATGCTGTAGGCAAGATTTTCCAAAAATATGGGACAGAAGCACACGGAAAAAACTAGAGAAAACAAAAAAAAAAAAACAAAAAAAAAAGAAGACGTAGATCTAGAGGAAAGAAGCGAGTCATCTAATTAAGACGTTTTTAGGCCGACTAGCCTCTATTTTTTTTTTCTTCTTGTTTTATTCGGCCATCAAAACAAATTACTTGCATAGGCTTTTGGTTGATTGTTCATTGGTTTGTTTGCGCAGTAGAAATTCAGATTAGATCTCACGTAACACTTTTGTAGTACTCATCTCGGTCCTTATTATAAGGCATTTTGATTTCGTTCTGAGTTTGACTTAAGATGTCTTTTTAATTAGGAAAAAAAATTTAAAAATATATTTTCACATTCGTTGTGTTCTCTTAATTATTATGAAATGTTTTTAAGGTTTTTTTCTAATTAAAAAAACATCTTAGGTAAAACATAGAACGAAATCAAAATACCTTATAATTAGGATCGGAGGGAATATTAAATTTGACGTAATTATAATTTAACAGTTACATTTCACGGTATCATACAAAAACTTTTACCATACATACTTCTCATTTCGCGCCCTTCAAATACAGAGTCATATTAATTGAGCGACACAAGTTTAATAAACGTTGTTTTGTTTTGGAATGAAAAAGATTAATTAAGTACTATAATATAATTAGTCAAAGTTTTACTATAGTTAACCATCTTGAACAATTCCTTAACAAAAAATTCTTTTTTCCCATAAACGAATTAAGATAGAAAAATGAGAATCGAAGATAATCAATTATTCATCACTTCCTTCTAAAGGAGATCTAGAGAGAGGTCATCAGTACTTTGCCGTGGCAGCAACGCCTCTTATATTTGAGTATGGTAAACTGACTTACTAGTAATTGATTAAACCAGGCTAATAATAATTGACTTACTAGTAATTGACTTACCAGTAAACTGACTTACTCGAGGTCAACTTGTAGCTCAGGAGGACAAGTAACAGAAGGACGCACGAGTGGAGTATCTTCCTAATAGTTGTATTCTCTCCTCTAATAAACTCCACAAATCTAATAGCCTAAGATACCTGTAATGGTATATAAAAAAAACTAGTAATTGATTAATTAAACTCCAAATTAATTAAACCAAATACATGAAGATATGGAAAATGTTTTAGCCTGTCTCCTTTTGCGGCTAGCTCATGCTGATGATGTATATGGTAATTTAAGTTAGGGCTTTGTATCGAAGTGCAAAAAAGGCTCAAGTATTAAAAGTATAGTACCAAATTAAAGCTTTTACCGATTCTCATGTATTTAGATTGATTTTATTATTATTTTTTTTTTGAAAACATTAGATTGATTAATAGTGTATAGAAAAATCATACACAACATCATTTTTTGCATAGACATAACGTCGCATTGGATATAGCAACGCCAAGCAATCGAAAATGTAATTAGGAGAGACGCGCACGTATTGTGTTACATCACATATTCAGATATTGAAATGACCAATTTCTAATGTACTTTAGCGATCTCACCCTTACAAGACATGAAGTAAGCTAATTTTAGAGTTACATAATGGGTTATACTCCCTCCGTTCCAAAATTATTGTCCAGTTTGAAATTTCACTTTTAGTACAATTTGAACTAAAAATGAAAACTCAAACTGGATAATAATTTTGGGACGAAGGAAGTACTTACTTTACTTTTCAGGTATGCTATAATTCAACTTATTGTACTCTCGCATCAACATCTTATAAATACTCGTCTAGTTAAGAAAATTACTTGTCTAGTAGTTAGAAAAAAGTCACGCCGGTTTTTTTTTTTTTCTTTTTACATCACATACTGAACATAAGATAAGAGTGAAACCCTCATTCAATATAGTTGTACATATGTATTTGAAACCCTCAACTAAAATAGTTGTACTTCTGTCCTAAAATAAATACTACTCCTTCCGTCCCATAATTATTGTCCAGTTTAAGTTTCATTTCTAGTTCAAATTATACTAAAAGTGGAATCTCAAACTCGACAATAATTATGGGACAGAGAGAGTACTATTATGTTTGTTATCATGCGTTCGCTGCCCCTAATTATATTAATTTGGCTAAATACTCTAGATGTTGGACACGACGTTCACAGTCGTTAATTGCTTAACGCGTAGTCACACAAATAATTGTACACCAGTACACATTATTGATACGGACATTTTTACACTATAAGTCTAGTTGGTCATTAATCGTACTCTTTTCGTTCTATAATTATTGTCCAGTTTGAGTTTTCGTTTCTAGTTCAAATTATACTAAAAGTGAATCTTCAAACTGGACTATAATTTTAGGATAGAAAGAGTATAATATTTGGATCGTCTCTGATTATCCGGGATTTATTGGAGGATGAAGAATATTGGCAGTACTAATCATACACCGCCAATTCAACTAGATTTGGAGGAAATAAACTGGGCATGATCATGTGAAAGAGTTGGAGGAAACAATCAAATAATTCATTAAGTAGTGGAAACAAAATGGACGATCATGTGTATGGAAAATGGATGTATAGAATCGAACCCATGTGATCTATCCCATATGTTTATACTCCAAAATAAGTGTATTAGTTGTTTAATTAATTTAGTATTTCGTCCGTCTCAAAATTACTGTCCACATTGTATTTTTATTTTTATTTCAGTTTGTAACTAAAAGTAAAATCTCAAATCGAACCATAATTTCGGGACAAAGAGAGTATAACAAAGCGAACAATGATTTTGGCGATGAAGGATTAATTTTCACTAATTTTGTTACTTGCATTCTTCCAATTTGGACACAATATTGAAAAGTAGTTATAAGCTGTTTGGTGCAGAGAAATAATCGAGGGGAATTGAATTGAGCCAAACTCTAATTAAGGTCAAACGCCTCACCAACCAAATCCAGAAATAATTGGCTGTTTATACGCGGATCTCTCTCTTTAACAGTTTCACAAGTAGAAATGGTGGAGGAAAAATGCAAATCCCATAAATAATGTATAAGTTAAACATATATTACTTACCTTCAAGAAAAAAAAATTGCCATAAACAATTTTTTTATTACCATTTCCGTTCTTCCCTTTTACATAAGACCTAAAAAACTCATTACCTATTTTGTCTTTCATTTTGCTGGTCAAAATAATAAGAAATTTAGTGTATCATGAATAACATATATTGAGTTATAGTTTTATGAAGGGAAACTATATAATAGTAGTGACACTTTTAATCTGTTTGGTTAAATTTTTTTGGGTTTTTTCTACAGTTTTTAGTAATATAAATATTCCATCCCAACCTTTTTTTTTAATATTTTCATACGTTTTTTATTCTTAATAAAAAAATTATCTAAAAATGCATAAAAAAAACGATCCAAACATAACCTTTCTTTCTCTCGATTAGATATTAAAATGAATGTTTTACGACTAAGTAAGAAAATGAAATGAGAACACGTAGCAAAATGGAGCTGGAAGCAGCCATGCAGAGATGCACATGAAAATGCAGAGAAGAAAATGACAGAAATGCGACACCCCACAGCGTTATGTCTTTCTGTCTAATTTATTTATTTATTTTTTTGGATGGCAATGTCTAATTTATTTATTCTTTTGTTCAATAATTCTCATTGTCTGCATAATTCACGCACCTCATTTCCCACCAATCCAAATTCAACAAGTGAAATCTTGTATTTTAAAAACGAAAAAAATATATACTACAAATCTGCAATTCAATTAAAAACTTCAAAAGAATTTCTGTTGGCCTTTAGAATTACATTTAAAAAAAAAATTGAAAAAATAAAATCCATAATGGTTGAGATTGTGTACAGTTGTAAACTTGTAATTAACATATTCTTATTATGATATACTACCTTATTTAGAGCCTAGATTCTAGCCTTGATTATTTTGCAGTTTCACACTCTTTAATCTCATTGTATGAAATGAAACTAATAAACATTCCATTTTTTCAGTTTTTGACATTGGTCTCGGCCAGATATTGAAAATGGTTATTGTAAAAAGGGATTGACTCTATTGCGAAAATGGCTACATTCTCCTTCTCGAAATACATAATAAGATTATTATCATATTTGTTGTATTTACGATCGTCTTAGGACAAATAAGCGATAAAGACTTTACTTGCGGTACATAGTAATTTGGTCATATGAAGAAAACTAACTCAAATAAAAGAAAAAACGCAAATTACAATAAAAGAAATTTATTAGTATTTGATTACATTGTGTTGTGCATAATTATGCGCTGCATTATTAAGATTTATTATGAGCTATTTACCATCTGTATTTTTAAAACTTTTATTTTTGAACTTTCAAAAAATGAAAATCTTAAATACCAGACTGTAAACCCACTTTTAACCCCCAACGAGATCTGTCGGTTGCTGAACAAGCTCAGTAATTATCCTCACAATTGAAGGGCATTATGGCCATAAAATCCACTTCTCAGCATTCTCCTGCTCCCCTTTGTACTACTACTACAAAATACAAAGAGAGCTGCTTTTCTGTGTTCATTATTGAACTCCATTTCTCTTACCTCTCTTCCCCATTTTCTCTACCTTTCTGCAAAATTTTAAGCTCCATTTGTAACTAAAATTTTCTTGCATATATTTGTACAGCTTCTTTGTAAAGTTCTTGTTTTGATGCAAACTAAGCAACTTTCTTGCAGAATATCGGAGACACAACAAGGTTAGTACGATTATTATATTATTTGTTTTATGTTCTCAAGGAAATTTCTGTCCTTCTATTTTTTCCTTCTGGGTTGTGTCTGTCTGCAAGATTTAAGGGAATTTTTGACTGTTTTAGTGTTAAAATAGTGTTCAATTATTTTCTGGGTTGTGATATATTTTTTTTTTTGGCTTTTGTTCTGTTCTGTTCTGTTTTCTGGTGTAGGTTAAGGTTCTTGGAGTTTTGTAAATGCCATGTCTCCTCACATTCCTGAGAAATTTGCAAACTTGGCATGGATTTTCAAGTCAAATCCTACTGTGCATTGGGGTTTCAAGGTTTTGTTGATGTCTGTGTTGCTTGGATTGGTGATCTTTTTCCGCATTGATGGTATGGGTATGAGTAGTCTTCAGAGGGATTTTGTTGTGTTGAAGATTAATGGCAGCCAGAATTTGGTGGAAAACCTCCAAGAATTGGACTTTCCTACTGTTCAGCCACAATTGGAACTGCCTCACTTGGATTATAATCATTCCCTTAGGAATTTGACAGATGCCATTCAAAGTTTAGCTCCTAATGATATTCCCCCTCCAACCACTTTAGCCAGGAAGCAACTCAACAATTCTGAATTTGATTCTGAATTGTTGCCCCAGTTTGCAGCCCAGAAAGATGGAAAATTGGTGGATCCTGATAAGCCACTGGTTCTTCCATGGGTTTCAGCTGAATTAGAGGCTAATTTCTCATCAAGTTTGCTAGCTGATTGGTTGGCTCCAGGGGGCGAGCCTTGCAAAGATTCAAGAACTGAGGACATTTCTATTTCGGGTCTTGATGGGCAAGGGTCTGTTCGATTATCAACAGGGGACGTTCATGAGTTTACTATCCAGGCACTTGATGGTTCTGGGAAGCCCCATTGTGTTGGTGGTGATTATCTTGAAATCGATCTGTCTGGAGAAACGTGGAAGTCTAGGCCTCCGATCAAGGATTTGAGAAATGGTACCTACACATTTAGGCTTCAAGTGCATCCGGATTTCAATGGAACTTATAATCTTACCATTATTCTCTTGTTCCGGCATTACGAAGGATTGAAGTTCTCCACGCCTCGGTTTGCAGTCGATAAGGTTCTTCGTGTTATTCCTATCAACTTCCACAAGTCCAGTGCTCAGATGAAGGAACTTTCTCAATGCAGAAAGTCTGATTTTGTTAGAGATATTTGGGCAGGCAGATGGACTCGCCATGCCAAGAATGATAGCTGTCCTATTGATAATGATGGGCGATATAGGTGCCAAGAACTGACATTTCCCTGTCAGAAGCCATGGTGTGATGGTCCTCTTGGTTCAATAGAAAGTAATGGTTGGATCTATTCGACACATTGTTCGTTTAAGATGTTCACGGGGGAAGAAGCCTGGAACTGTTTAAGTAATCGTTGGATTTTCTGGTGGGGGGACTCAAATCACTGTGATACTATCCGAAATATCATCAACTTTGTTCTGGGATTAGATTTTGCTACGGTTCCCAGGAGGTTTGATATGAATATCACGAACCCGAAGAATCCATCACAAGTTGTAAGAATTACAAGCATTTTCAATGGTCATTGGAATGAAACTTCCAATTATCTAGGTCTGAATTCCTTAGAAAATGAAGAATACAGGGAATTGTTGAAAAATTACTTCTCACAGGACATTATTCCGGACACAATCATAATGAATTCCGGTTTACATGATGGTATATATTGGCATAATCTCAGGCGCTTCATCATAGGAGCAGACTATGCTGCTGCATTTTGGTCTGGAATATTGGAGGGCGTAAAGTCGAGGGGTTTAGCTCTGCCAGAAGTCATATACAGAACCACAGTTGCAACCGGTGGATACGCCAGAAGCATGGGATTCAATCCAAGTAAGATGGAGGCATTTAACGGCGTAGTATTGGATAAGTTGAGGCAGTACAATGTGGTAAACAGAGTAATTGATGATTTTGATATGACCTTTCCTTGGCATTATGATAACCGGGCAAATGATGGAGTGCATTACGGCCGTGCTCCTGCCAAGATGAAGTGGAGGGATGGCCTAATTGGCCATCAATATTTTGTAGACCTTATGCTAGGGCATGTTTTACTAAATGTCCTATGCACAAGGTAAACTCAAGCCCATTGCTGTGAGTTCTGCTATTCTCCAACACTTTTTGTTGCAGAAAAGTTGGATTGATTTCGCAAGCTGGGATGATCATATTTTTGACTTTTGAGGGAGGGAACTTGACCAAGGGAAAGTGCAAAGTGATCAACCTGGGCAAAAGAAAAGAGGATTTCTATGTGGCGCAATTGTAGCTGGTTGAAGAAAGGTGGATTTGTACACACCTTTCATTCATTGCTGCCCTTTTGAACTTCTGTCATTCTATTTGGAGTCCTAGCTATAGTTTTAGTGCACCAAATGGTCAAAATCCAAAGTGGTAGAGTAGGTGAATATACTTTATAAAGAAAATTCTTTATTTTTTTTGAGAGAAAAATGCTATTGCTGTAAAGTTACAATGGAGGGTGACATTATATATGTGAAATTTGTACCTAAAGTTGAGTTTGGAAAGACATTCAACTAGATTCTTGTGCACATGTACTTTTTTAGTTGGGAGTTTTATAATGGCAATCACAAATTAATCTCTACTTTTTCTTTGTTTATATGCAAGTGCATATTAGCTTTTTTTGTCACTTGATTACATGTCCCTTTCTCTTTAGATCCCTCTCCCTCAAGTTCAAAAGTAAGCAAAGATTAGCACATGAAATTTCTTAACTAAAGTGGTTAGAGAGCAAACATATATCAGTATTTTTTTTTTTTACACACAATTACAAGTATCTATATCAGTTTTAAGGTTTTAGTTATGAAATCTTTACATTTGAAGAAAAAAATGATCTACATGAAAGTTGCATTCTCAAAGCTTACAAGATATTTTTAATTTTCTTTTTGTAATATTTATATGATATCTACAGTCAATAACAGTGACTAATTTTCTCATTTAAATTCTCAAAATGTAAAAAAGTAGAAAGTAAACTAAACAAATGAAAGAACTTCTGACCAATGTTCAATGGTAGGCCTGCTTTCTACTATGACAGGGCCATGGCTTACCTAAACTTTAGACCCAGAGTTGTAGCCAAAAAATCTATACAAAATCGGGATTTAAGTAGATTTGGGCGGAGCCTTTGATTCCGATCTCCGAAGCCTGCTTCTATTTCTTCATACCCAGTTGGACACTGGAAGCCTAGTCCAAAAATCTAAAGTGCAAGATAAATAAAAATAAAAATTATCATATGAACTTCATGTGATTATGTTTTCACCAAAAAGAAAAAAACAATCTTGAAGCTGGCACTAACAAATTATAATCTTGATAGTTCATCGAAATTAATTTTCGTTTGTCGACTACAGTACTATTTTTTTCTTTTTTTTTTGCCAGCAACTATAATCAAATTTTATTAAAAAAACATATTAAAATAAAATATACAAAGTGTACAAGAGCTGTATTAAGAATAGTTAAATCTAGTCATGACAGTTAAATAAATTTTTCTCCTTTTTAAAAAAACTAGTGATTTTCTGCCCACACTACGTGTGGGCCTTTCTCACCCTCTCGACAATGCACATATTATATCTTTGTCTATTTTGATCATTTAATTTTTAAAAAAATTAATAAGACACAATGGCACTTTTCATAAAATGATTGAATTTGAAGTATCAATCAACATAGTTAGAAAATACTTGTGACAATAGAATTGAAGGTATATGTGTAAAATGGTAAGTTAAAATAAATAAATTTGAAATTAATTACTTCTTACGGACCGAAATGATTGTTCATCATATTAAAAGCGAAAATTTAAATTAAAAAATTATTTTAAGAGAAAAAAAAGAGTATTACTTACAGTAGGTGCTTGGAATATTTATTCGGGAGTTCATAGAGGTTTGTATCTCATATTTATAAGTGAAGTCTAACGGATATAAATAATTTTTATATCAGAATTTGATGAATTAAATAGCATATATAACCATGATCAAGTATTGATATGTTTAATCTTTTTCCTTTTAATAGCTTAATAAACAATTCATAATAAAAATAGATGAACATAGTAATTAAATGAAGAAACATTTCGTATAAAAATGTAATAAAGAAACACTAACTGAATGTTCTTATCACGGTTATTATTACCATTGTTATTAATTTAGTCAGCCCTAAAAATCATCTCCAGAAGTCAGTTAAAGTTGTAGTTCTTGTGGAGTTTAATCAGGCAGCCAACCTTTTAAATTGACATATAGCTTTGGTTTTCGTAAGTGGAAAAAGGGAGGGTGTCAAATAAAGAAAAGAAAGAAGAGCTTGAGGGGGGACAACGACGAAACTACTGTAGAATGCCCCCCTCTCACTTTTATAATAGTAAGTAATAGATAGAAAGAATAAATTATCTACTATTACGGGTTTCGAAAAAATAAATTAATTTAGAGACTATTAAACAGATCAAGGGGCATTATCTACTTAAAAAACAAATGTTGAGTTGTCTTTGACTTGATTCACTATTTAAAATAATCAATTTGGCGTTATATTTTTCAATATCCAAAATGTCACTATTGACTTGAGAAAAACCATTTAGAGCCTAAAACAAAATCCATAAATCGGGAAAACACACACAAAAATGCAAAAAGGACTAAAAACAAAAAACCAAATTTATTATGTTGAAAGCTAAAGCCTTAACTCCTAAGGATAAAGTTCTTCTATGTCTTGGGTCAGGCTTGACTTAGCAGGAAAATAAACACACAAAAAAAATAAATAAATAAATAAATGGAAAAGAAAATAAAAACAAAAAGTGAATTACTAGAAGAAAAAGAAACAAATGAGAATTTGGAAATGTTACAGAAAAGTATTACCAAATAAGGCACATAAATCTTTGCTGCATCCATCAACAACCCAAAAAAATAAAAAGGAAAAAAAAAAAAAAAGAGGGAAAAGTAGAGAAAAAGATAGAAGAACAAGGAAAGAAAACTGAGAAAAACATCCCCACGGATCACACAGAATACACACACAATAACACTGTGTTTTCTAAACACGCAAGAAATAGTAGTTTCTATGATTTGTGCAATAAACTAAATGGGATAAAGTTTGAATCTTTATTAAATATCTTAATAATCAATTATAGTGCGTGTCTTTTTCTCTCTTTTGGGGGGGTTTTTGGTTTTCTTTGGAGGAGGAAATATATTTTTTCGTGTGGCTTTTTTACATTCACAAATTGAGGAAATCTGGCAAATTTAGGGGGATTGAATTTGAGGCCTCGGTTGCCATTGAAGCATTCCAATTCAACAGAGGGCCAAGACGAAGAGGAGTGTCGGCCTTGGCGAAAGAGGCTTTCTTTATCAATAATGGCGGTTAAATTCAGTTGGGTTTCCTGCTTCAAGATAACCCTTTTCTTGATCCTGATTGCTGCTATTGCTACAGCATGCTATACTCTTCCCATGGAGAAGGTTTGATCCGTTTTTTCCCCATCTGGGCTCGATTGTTTGTTTTGTCGGTGCTCTGGTTATTTTGGATGATTCATTTAACTGTTTTGAAGAATTCTCTGATCTGGGTTTTTGTTTAGTCTGTGTCGTTGATTGCTGGAAGAATTTGATCATTTCTAATTGTTTGGGGTTTATGCTGATTTGGGGGTTTTCTTAATGATTTTTTTTTTTAATTGTTGCATTAGTACATTGGTGTTGTGTTACAATGAATTTGATGATTCTGTCGTAGTGTTGACAATCATGTGGGAATGTTGTGGCTTCTTACTTTGCTCCTCAACCCTTTGTTGTTTATTCTGCTCAAATTTGGTAACTTCAGACTTTTGGTTGGTTTGGCACTGGCTAAGGAAGCTGAAATGTTTTAGTTGATCATTGCTTGATTATTTTCATTTTCTGCAGATGCTGAAGAACTTCTTACTATGGGTTGAAAAAGACCTGGGTGCTTGGGGTCCTCTTGTCCTGTAAGTATGATGTACTCGATGGCTTTTTCCCGTTCCTTTTTCTGCTAAACACTGTGCATATCGGGTCTAGGAAATTCTAAAGCTTGTTTGAATTTTGATAATGATCCTTTCCTAGCTGATAAAGCAGTACTGTGGATAATGGTTCCGTATGATAAAACGGAATGCTGACAGTGAGCTACCCTTTACATCATCTTATCGAGTTTTGCCATAACAGAGAATCAAATGTAACTTTTAGATATTAGTTGTAGTGCGAGAGCAATCCTCAGTATGCTTATTGTTTTTCATGTTATCTATTTTGCTTAGTAGGTTCAGGATGGTGTTAATCGTCAAAGCTAACAGAGCAGTGATATTTTTACCAACACCTTATGGCTCCTAGAAATTTCCCAACTTAGATAGATTTGTTGGTGGCTCTTTGCTTTGGTTGATATTATATGAAGTTATTTGGCAGTATATATCTTTTTAAATGTCGTATAAAAACTATATTGTCATTTGAAATCCACATGTTACAGATTGTAGAGTTGCTATATGCTGGATATGATTTTACACTTCTAGCTTCTGCTTATGTCCTTTTTTGAAACTTGCAGGGCTATTGCATACATTCCATTGACAGTATTGGCAGTTCCAGCTTCAGTACTTACGGTTGGTAGATTGACCTTTAGTTTTTCTATTAACCCTTTCACTAATGATGAAACCAAATAACTTAATCAATATGATAGCAGAAGTTGCTGATTTATCAAGTTTATTTGATTTATAGGGTTGAAGGAATGTGATTTCCTCAAATAGTGTCATGTATAATCTAAGAAAGAAATTTTTTTTTTGACTGCCATTATCTTTTCTCTGTCTATTTTGTTAAGGTTTTTCTGGATTAACCGTATAGTAATACCTTCACTCAACTCTTATGAAGTCAAAGTTTATTTGAATTTTCAGCTTGGTGGTGGTTATCTTTTTGGTTTGCCTGTGGGGTTTGTTGCTGATTCTATTGGTGCTACAATCGGTGCTGCTGCAGCCTTTCTTCTTGGCAGAACTGTAAGTTCATCGATAGCGTTAATGCAGTTCTTTTTCTCATTTTAAATTTTAAGCATTTAAAATTTGTCTTATGCTACACTGTAACAATGTTGTTCTAATTTTGTAACAACAGATTGGGAGATCTTTTGTTATTTCCAAGCTAAAAGACTATCCAAAGTTCCAAGCAGTTGCTATCGCTATTCGGAGATCTGGCTTTAAGGTTCATAATTAATGCTTGTCCTGTTGTTTATTTCCTTATCTGTATGTGTGTCTTTGTGTGGGTGATTATCCTAGTTTCAGAAGAACCCACATATATAAAACCTTTCAACTTTTAATGTTAATCTTTTTCTAAGTGACAGATTGTCTTGCTGCTACGGCTTGTTCCTTTGCTTCCATTCAACATGTTAAACTACCTGCTGTCTGTCACCCCAGTACCCTTTTGGGAATATGTGCTGGCTTCATGGCTGGGAATGATGGTATGTACTTAACTCTGTGTTTTAGGTGTTATTTGTCGTTTGAACTGTATACTTCTTTTACACGAGTGACTGATCCAGCGGTACAATAAACCATGGTTTCAAGAGTTGACTTGTCTCTTTGAGTGACTAGGCCACATTTAAACATTTTTCACCCTACTCATCTTTGTAACTGTTATCTATGTGATTCTTGTGCCTGACATGGATAATTCTCACCCTTGCAGCCAATTACTTTTGCCTTGGTTTATGTTGGAACAACACTGAAGGATTTATCTGATGTTACTCATGGATGGAGTGAATTCTCTAAAACCCGCTGGGTAAGATCTATGCTCCTGCCTTTTTACCGGATTATGTCAATTGGGTTTTTGTTTTCTTATTGAATGACTAAGATACAAATTTTTGTTTTTTTTGTGTGTGAAAAGGATACAAAGTTTTTAAATTGAACATGTATTCTTGTTTAAGAAGGGGTATGAGTAGTAAAAATAGAGAAAGGATCAAAGATGGTTTGAATGGCTCATGCTTTGCAGTCATCGGATTAATAAAGAATGAACAACGCAGCGTTTTGAAAGATTATTTTTCTTTCATTTCCTTTTTGTAAGTGGAAGTTTCTATTGTTAGGATTAAACTTTTTTACATGTTTGTATCTTGACATGAAATTAATCTCTTTTTTTTTGTAATGGAAGACAGTGGTGCCTCGACTTACATTTTTCTTGATGACCTTCGAATTACATTTTTCCTAGAGTATAATATCTTTTTTAAGATTTTATTATCTTCTTTGCCAAACTTGTGTTCAACTCTTCTATATATATTTTTTGGTTCTTGCTGACATCTGCTCCTGCCTTTCTTGTTGCGCAGGCACTTCTTTGTTTGGGACTTTTGGTGTCTGGTAAGTGTAAATTAATTGAACTATATTCATTGACATTATATGAGATCCAGTTGAGTCGAACCAGTTGTCTTAAAACTACTGCTGTGCATACTTTTGTCATTAGAGAGGGACAAAGATTAGAAGTCTCATTGCTCATTAGGCTTCTCCATAGGTGATCTGTCTTATTTTCCTCTTTTGAGAAGCTATATGATGAAGGTTTTGAAAACGTGGATCTTAAAAGAGATGCTGGTCGATAGTATTTTTCCTGTCATCTTCATGAACACTTTAGAACTCGTATTTATGATCTGCATTGAAGTTAAGCATGCTTATGATTTTCTGGATTTCTGATTATATCTACGGAGCTTTATACGATGTTTGTACATTCATTTGACTTCTTTGCAGTAATCTTAATATTCTGTGTCACGAGAGTTGCCAAGAGATCTCTGGAAAAAGCATTGGCTGAAAATGAGGATTTAGATGGCATCGATCCCTCACCAGAGTTACCCATTGTGGCTGATTCTTCTGTGCAGCTTAATGAGCCCCTAATAATCAAGATTGATCCTTCTCACGATGATCACGAGCAGTAGTTCTTATAAGTTTGTAAATATTTTAGACTGTTCTATTTTTTAAAGAGTATCTCCCCTGTATTCTTTCCCATACGTGCGATAAGGTTGACATTCTTCATCTGTACATACAGTCCGATAAGGTTATACGCTATCAACCACCAGAACATGTTCGTACTTCCTCAGTAGGACTCAGTTTTGTCCTCGAAACAGCTTCAGAGAATGTAGTCAAAACTATCAAAAATTGCTCCAATCTTTTCAATCTTGTGATTTTCATCTTGGCAATGGTCACTTTAATGTGCTAGTAGCACATAAGGTCCTGTTTTGTGTTGTCATTTGATTTCCACTTACAGTTATGTGTTTAAATTATACCCGGTGCCAAACATTCCCTTTTAGGCTTCCACCGGAAAAAAAGAAAAGCCATTTCCAGTGGATCAGGTGATGACTGAAAATTGCAGATCATCATAAAACTTCTACTCTTTTTGAATACCCTGTTGGGAAAGAGGGATAGGTTGCGGTACCGCGCCGCTGGTGACATTTGAACTTGGATTCTGATTGCGCAGTAGGTGAGATTTGAATTCTGAATCCAAATGGTGACAAACAAAGTTGATAATGAGGTGGTTCAGTGTAACCATTTTCTCAGTATAGTCAACTGTTTTCTTTAGCACCATTTTTTGTTGGAGCCCATGGTGCAGAACTTCTGTGCCCACCAATTTACCATCACCAATACCAGCAATTGGGACTTTACAGTTATACAAAACATTAAATCTTGGAATCACACATCAAATCATCTGAATTAACAGGCTTTTGAGGTTTCTTACAGATGGATGGTGGATTAGGAGTCAGAGTCAAGCATTTGAAGCTTACGATGCTGCAAAATTTTGCAAGAAGTAGGAAAAGATAAAAACTTGAAAGAAAAGTATTGGTGGAAAAGCATCAGCATAATGATTAAAGTTGAAGCAATAGCAAAAACTTCTTCATCATTATGCTTTGAATGATTTGTGGGCGCCTTTCCCTTCCTTTTTTCTTCCTATAGAATGTCATACAAAATGTTTGTTGCAATAAATTTAGTCCTCTTGCCTTAGTGAAAATGTTCATAGAAAGTTCCCTCTACAAAACCAACTTTCTGCATAAATGAATTCCTCTTCAAATCAGGTGTAAACCATTGATGACTCTCCTTTTATATTTATTATTATAAAAGGTCCCGCAGAAAAGTTTGATTGGAATCAATAGAAAGCTCACCGAAAGTTCAGTCAACAGTTCTTTTCATTGCATTGTTCTTTGAATATAGAGGCAAATCATATAGCTAGCTCTCAGGTTTTGAGGTTTTTGACTATCTGACAGAATGCGAAACGTAAGCTTTCTTTCGCTTGTCAAGTGCTTCAATGGATGCCGTGATCACACGCAATTCACAGGATTCGGAACAAGGATATGGAATTTCAGTGACAGGGCTATTGAGCTGCAGGTAAGAGTTGGATCAATGCTGAAGAAAGCTCATACGTTGAAGCCCGGATCATCGAAGAGGCTGAAAGGCAAGAGTATTTACAAGAGTTATATGCCTGGTAAAGGAAAAGGTAGCAGTGGAGGAGGAGGAATGAGAAGTCTGCTGTATTATTATGATGAGACATGCCACCCTTATATTTGGATACATGATACTGGATGCGATTTTTCGAGGATGGTGAAGCAACAATACATTAGTCTTGAAGATTTGAGGGATTGTTCTGAGATTAAAATCTTCAGGGATCATCAGAGAGGATGCATTTCAGTCAGTAAGAAGTTTAGGTCAGAGTTGTGCTGAACAAAGTCTTTCAAAGGTAGCTGCTTTAAGATCAAACCGTTTCAGGAATCACATTTTTGGGTTCAGAACTTCTAAAAGTGTACAAATCCATGAAGTGGGTTCTGTTTTGTTTTGCTGTTTTTGTTTGAGTTTGATGAGTCCCTTAGGTACTTATCTTCCTTCACAAAAATTTTTGAAAGGGTGTGGAAGAATTAAGCTCTTTCAACTATCTCTCTATTCAAAAATTTGTCATGTTGGATTGTCTCCTGTAGAAACCTTTCATGTTTGTATTGACACCTTTTGTAAACATGGTTTGATAATTTCATTTTCCACCATATCTGGTCAGTTTGAACCTAGCTTTGTATATTTAACTTTGTGATTCGGTTCCCATCAAATCATGCTGGTTCCTGGCTCCTTTGAAACATAACCAATAGCCAATTGGTTTTAAGTCGGATATTCAACTTTTTTAACATTGATAGCGAGAGGCTATGAGCAGACTAGACGGTGATTTCGTGTTCTTGTTAGATTGTAATCGTGAGATTTACAAGTATCTTACACCGTATTGCACCCATATACAGTATCAAAATATACTTTCTGTTGGATTTTCTTCTGAGCAATCAAGCTGGATAGGTTATCATTACTTTTGTGTCTTTTTATTTCGCTTCGGGTGTCTGAAGCCAAACTAATCCAGATCCGAGTCAGGTAAGTTTGTTTCAAGAGGCGAATATCTCCTACAGATAACTTTCTGATCCCAAACCCCAAGCTATTATTGACTAAGTATCAAGAATCACTAATGAATCTGAATTGACTTCTTTGTTTGATTTTAGGAAAGTGTAAATGATGCAACACAAGCAGGAACAACTACAAAAAAAATAATTGGAGGCTACTGCTACATGAATGGTATAGCAAAAATATCTTATGTTTTGTTTCAGAAACAGCCAAAAAGGATAGATAGATAGCTAGTGAAGAGGAATATTTGCCATAAAAGTTAGCAATAACAGAGACAAACTGAGGGGGGGCATCTTCTTCAATTCTGCACATTAGCTCAAGTGGGGTGGGCTAAATTCATCAAGAGTATTATGATCTATCAACAAGGATATATGACATTTATAATGACTTTAGTTTCAAACCCTATCTCAAGTGCCCATTAAGAATGTTATAGTGCTGTTGAGTGTTGATAACAAAATAGTTTCTAGCTAGTGGTTTAAGAAGGTAAACTAAAAACTTTATTAGGGAAGTTTGCTAACTTGGTGACACATTCATAAACCTATTTGAGGGGACCATTCCATTTTATTTTTTTTTTTAACCTCAGAACTTACACATGATTGTACTCAAGTAGGAGTACTACTTGAAGTAAAACTGGCAAACTTTAAGTACTTAACTTGTTTATGCATCATCAATGCTGCTGGAAAAAAAGCTACAAACTTTTGGAAAAAGCATATTCATGACCTATTCCTTCAAGTCTTCAAATTAGCTTTTGAAGCTGACTTAGGGTAAGCTTTTTTACTATAGTAAGTTTGTCACAATAATAAAGCATTCTACATAGTACTACATTGTAACCCTTTTTGAGTATGTGATTCAGCTGTTTCTGATTGAAGGGGACATAAGGATGATGGAAGAAGTTAGCTGTCAACTGATTGATTCCAGCAATGGGAATGATATGTCATGAAATCGTTATAAGGGTGTCAATCTTTTTACACAATACGGTTCAGATTTGGCGGATTGTAATTACGATTTCACAATCACACGGTTCAAGTTGATCTCGTTTTGAACTAGTTTTAAGTCTTTGTTACACTAGACTCAAGTATCTCTAACTACAAAAAAGACACAAGAATGATATACTCGCAATCATACTTAATGAAATCGAGATAATCTTATACAGGAATGTCAATTTTTGACACAATACAATTAAGTTTTGATAGATTTTAATCGCGATAGGATCTATGGCACCGTTTTGTGAAACATGTCGAATTCAAGTTGATCGTTTGTTTAACCTAGTTTTAGGTTTCTTTTACACCCGACTTGAATATCTAAACACAAACGCAAGATAACCGACACCAATAAACTTATATCTCTCTCTTGCTTATAGACTATAGCAAGAAAGAAAGAGGTAAAAATCCAAAAGCTCAAAAAAAAAAAAAAAAACATCTCCTTTTTAACAAGAATGTGGACAATCAAGTAACGGGAAAGATGTGAGATGAAGAAGAAACAATGGCATATGTGCCTGATGGAGATGGACCAGAGAACCTCTCTCTTAGGCTGCCATTCCCAATAATTATTTTTTTTCCATCCTTACAGATTCCTTTTCCTGCCTCCTGCTGCTGCTGCTGCTGCATTGGTACATGCATTTTGACTTTTGATGCCAGTGATCTTTCAAGATGTTTTTTTTTTTCTTTGGAGTGAACAAATTTCAATCACAGCATATTTTACTTGCAGAAGGACTTTACTAGATCTATGTGAATGATGCCAAAGTTAGTACATATTATGCTGAGTACTGGGGTCATGTAACCTGTTACCTGTAACATATGTCTCTAAGATACACTTAAAATTAGACTACTGTGGAAGTGTGATCTTTGTCATTATCTTTTGTTTTGGTTCTTCTCCTGTTTAGCCTGTTTTGGGACTTGGAATTTTGCTTTAGACTCCAAATGATATTCCAAGGTTAGCTACATTTTTTAACTCCTGAAAAATTGTGAAGTTTCCGATAGGCAACAGCCATTGAGTCAGGGGTGTCGATTCGAGTTATCAGGTTAATTTCGAGTTATGTATTCCACGAATTCATGAGATTTTTTAGAGTAAAAATATAATAAAAATCTAAATCGTGTCAATCATGACGTGTCGTGTGTTGTCTTTAAATCGTATCGTCATGTCGAAAATTGAGATATGTTAGAGTTATAAGCTATTATCCTACCTTAATTAACTAAACTAGTAAACGCGACCAGATTCTTAAGTAGTTTGAGAGAAGTGAGAAAGGTAAAATCTTGGATTCATCCGAATTTCTGCTTCTAAGAAATGAACACTATTTCAGCCAGAGAGATGGTAAAAGTAAGAAATTATTTACACCCGCATATGGGCTCTAGTTCAAGGCAAGAAAAGAAAAATGAAAAGGACTAGTAAACCATGATCATATACATTAGATAAGGTTGAAGAAGCCCAAAAGAAAAAAATAAAAGGTGGAAATGTCAAAATCATATACTCCCTCCGTCCCATAGTTATTGTCCAGTTTGGATTTTCATTTCTAGTTTAAATTATACTAAAATTGAAATCTTAAACTGGACAATAATTTTAGGACAGAGAAAGTATAATTGATGATTGAATTCATCCAATCAAACCACTATTTTCATAATTCAGACCTTCCCTAAAAAGGGCCAATAACCTTTCTTTGAAAGATATCCCAAAGTGCTAAAATTCCTCCTATTAATGACTAAAAGTCTAGAGGAAGCATTATTAAGTACTGCATACAATATCGCTCAAATAATGGGAGCACTATGAGGGGAGAAATGGTTCTTTATAGAGGGTAGATTTTCCTAATATGAGTCTTTTATCTTTTTCTCAACAATAAATGAATTCCTCTATACCATGTGATGCACACATGGAATTCTTTAACTAAAATGGTAACAGGGATGCATAATTTGTTGCCCATCAATTCCATTTCAAAAAGTGAAGAGTTCAATCACTGAAATGGTGTAAGAAAATTCCTAGCCTGGTTTGAATCATTTGAGTCTTCATTATTGTCTATCAAACTCTATAAAAAAAAATGGTTCAAAATAATCGTTTTACTATTAGGGTTGTGAAGATCAACACTAGGGTTGATAATAACAATTTGCAATTTTAGTAATGATTTGACCGGCGTTTCGAATTTAGCAGCTCATTTAATGCTACTAAAATTAAAGATAATTTAGCTAGCTTGGGTTAGAAATTTGGGGGGAGGGGGAAAAGAATCAAAAGGGTCCAAGTGTAAGATTTTCTTTTCTTTTCCTCTTTATTTAACCTGAAATTCGTATAAATTACTACAACAGGTATATTTTTGTAAGAACGAAAAGATTTTAATTGTGCAGTTACGAATAGCTACACTAACAAACTCAAAACACGTCTTTCTTATTTTAACTTACAACATTGTAAAACAACACTTGTTATAGTAATTCTTATCTAGACTTTGTAATATATTGTGACAAAATTTTTGATAGCGATTAGAACCGAAACAAACCTTTGAACTCACTTTAGAGTGTTCAGATGGAACTACTACACACCAAACTGTTACTTTCTAATAGTAGTAACTTGGTATGGCATCTTTACTTGCCAATTACCATCAGTCCATCACACAGAAAAAGAATATACATTTGACCATTTGGTTATCTGATGGGCTTCCACTATACATATATTTTCTTTCTTTACCAAAATCTTCGGTTGCCATTCAATTTGCATTCATTGATTGACTTCCATATAACCCCCCACTAATATAATGCTCGTATTGTCCCTATAGACAGTGAAATTTTTTACCTTCCTCAGATTTCGTCATATCTTGTAGTAAATTTTACTGCTGACAACATAATGATAACGGTCAAAACAGGAAAACCATCAAGAATAATGTCACTCACTCCATTCTTTTGCCTTTTCTTATTTGGGAATCAACATTTTGGCCAAATTGGTTCATAATTCATGTCTCAAAATAAGAATGTCTCAAAATAAGAATAGTCGTCGTGATCAATATGTTTTAAACAGTAAATCGGGCTCTTAAATACTTGAATATTTTAGTTCAAGTTAAAGGCAGCAAACTAGTACTCCCTTCGTTTCAAAATAAGTGTCGTTTTAGCAAAATGGAGAAATTCCAAAATAAGTGTCGTTCTCACATTTCAATGCACTTTTTGTCAAAAGTTTCCAAAATTACCCTCAAAAGAGTTGATTCTATTGGCGGGCAATTTTATAATGGGTTTGGTTGAGGATATTCCAGTAATTTTATTACCCTATTTAAGAGTTTCTTAAATTATATGCAAAGTATAGGACGACACTTATTTTGGAATGGAGGAAGTACATATTTGTGCATTTATCCAATATGTCTTGGACACTTTTTCGGTGTGTGCATATTTATTTATTATTTTCAAAGTCTGATATTCCTTTGGCACCCTAGTTCGTATACATTCTCTTTTTAGTTCGTGACCATAAAATAATAAATGAAAGAAAATGTAAGAAGCTATAAGATATGGCTAGATGTTATCCCAACATGAATGGAGAATGTACTCCCACCTCATGCTATGGACAATTGATGATTTGTTTTCAATAACATTAATGCATTTTGTTTGAAACTTTCTCCAGTTTCAATTATCATAAATGGCATTTTTTTTCCGCGCTCACATGTAGCAGCTGGTAAATGAAATAAGAATTAGCGATTATCCGAACAGTTAAAATTCTGTACGTCAACAGATTAGATATTCGGTAATTTATCACTGTCATTTTCATAGACACAATTTTACACAATGCTATATTCAAACAAACTTAAACACAAAGAATTGGCATAAATGTCGTTACTTTTTTGCAATCCATATTTTTTCCTCATACACCTGTGACTCTGAAAAGGCTTTTGATTTAATTAATAGCCATTTATTGAAAAAGCTTGTGTAAAATAAATAGTACACCGAATGCTGAGATTTTCTGAATCTAAGTTGAGATTGGACTCCGTGTACTCAGGCCAACAAGGTATCATCATTCTAACTATATGGTCTAATACGATGAATTACTTCTAAGACAATTTAAAAAACAAGATGAACCCAAAATAGGAAAATAAAGCCCAAAACTAGCCCATTCTTCTAGTCTTCAGAATAAACTAGAAAAAGAATTTTTTTTTTTCTAAAAAAAAAAAAAAAAAGGGAGATTTTGTTCCTTTGAGACTTGAGAGGCTTGACAACTCCAAAAGCCGAGCCACATAGCTGAAAAACTCCCCAAATGTCAACAAAGGAGGAAAAAGGTAAAGTTTTTCTTGCTATTAATTAGTTTTCCTTTTTCTCTTCGCTTCAAAAAAGAAGTAAGCCTAAGAAAGGAAGATTTATTAAATTAATTAATTCTTTAACTAATAAGTAAATAATAAATATATCTAGTAAAGTGGTTTGGTATTTCTATTAGCAAAAAAAATAAAATAAAACAGATTAGAAATAATCACTTCTATTTCATGTAAGTCACGTGAACATAACAGATATCACTAACGTAGTCATTTCACTGAACAAATTTACCGTCATCGTTATTTGTTAAACAAGATGCAAGAGTAACAAGGGAAAGCTTAAAAAATTGTATAAATAAAGACCCCCCCTTGAGTAGGTAGTATCAGTCTCTCTTTGTGCTTCCAGTCTGCCTTTTTCCTCCTCCCTTTTTTTTTTATATAATATATAATTATAAATACAATGAAATTTTTATCTGTTCTTGTTCTTGTTCCTGTTTGTTTATAGTAGCAATAACTCCTCTCTTTTCTTCTCTTTCTCCAAACTCTGAATTAGATGAAAGCACAGACTCTCTATCAGAACAAGCTTTAATGTCCACCCACCTCTTCTTCTAACCCCATTTCTCTTTCTCTCTCTCTCCCCTTCACTCTGTTTTCTCTCTCACATACTCACACAGTTTCACTCACTCCATTCACTCTTACATTCAGAGCCCTGCCTTCAATTTGTTTTTGTTTCTTACTTCACATTTAACTCTTTGTTGTTGATTTTGTAAGAAATAAAGAAAAAAAAATAGCAGAGACCCCCCATTGAAAAGAAAGAGAGAAAGAAACCATTTTTAATTCTCTGTTTTGCATGTAAATTCAGTCACCTCAGCCCACCAAATCAAACCCCCCATTTCCATGTGTTTTTCAGTCCTTTCAGATCTATAAGCATTGAGTTTTTTTTGCCTTTGCTTCATTCTTCTCCTCTGTTTTTTTTAGTACTTCAATTTGACTGAAGATGAGTAAAGAAGAGTTTCTGAAGATCCAGGTATGGTATACAAATGTGGAAATTTGTGCAAATTTTCTTTTTTCCTTTTGGCCCTTTTTTTGGGTCTTCAATTTCAATGACTTTCACTTTATGAGCTTTGCTTCAGTTGAACTCAAAATCTTCCTAGAAACCTTTTTTTTTTTTCCTCATTTTTTTTTTCTTTTTTACCTTTTCACTTTGTTTTTCTGACAGCAAGTGAAATTCTTTGGCTACATTCTTGGATTATCTAAATTGAAGTCTATTATTTTGCCTAATGATTTTGTACTCTTTTGCTTGAGCAAGTTTGTTTTCAGTCTCCATCTGGGAATGTTGATGATGTCTAAAGTTTACAACTTTACTCTTCTCCTCTGTTTTCCTCTGTTTTTTGCTTCTTGTCCATGCAGACATGTGTGCTCAAAGTCAACATTCACTGTGATGGCTGCAAACATAAAGTGAAGAAAATCTTGCAGAAGATTGATGGTACCTTTCATTCCCCAAGACTCCATTTTTATTCCTCCCCAACATGATTTTTATGTCAATTACTATCAATCTGGCTTTAAAAATTTCTGGGTTTTTTTTTTTCTTGTTTGATTTTGCAGGAGTGTACAAAATAGCTATTGATTCAGAGCTGGACAAGGTGACAATATCTGGAAATGTTGACCCGGAAACACTGATTAAGAAGCTTGCAAAAAGTGGGAAACGTGCTGAAATTTGGGGAGCTCCAAAGCCTAATAACAATCAGCAGAATCAGGTGAATAATCAGTTCAAGAATCTGCAAATTGACAGTGGCAAAGGTGGGAATAACAATAACAAGAATCAAGGTGGTGGTCAAAAGGGTGGTGGAAATAACAACAATAATCAGCCCAAAGGCGGTGGCGGCGGGGGTGGAGGACCAATTGGCCCACCCGGCGGCTTGAACCCTATGCAGTTACAGCAGCTGAAAGCTTTACAGGACAAATTCCCGCAAATGAAGGACCTCAAAATGCCGCCGATGCCGGCGATTGGCGGCGGTGGTGGCGGTGGGAATAAGGATCAGAACAACCAGAAGGGCGGCGGCGGTGGCAAGTTCAGCATGCCGGAAGATGATTTCAGTGATGATGAGTATGATGATGACGATTTCGATGATGAAGATGAGGATGATTTCGATGATGATGAGCTTGATGATGAAATGGATGACCTCCAGCCTAATAAGATGAAGCCAATGATGATGATGGGTAAACCGCCTGGACAGGGGATGCCGCCGGCGATGATGAATGCCTTGATGAATGGTCAAAATCCACAGCTCATGAAGGGTCCCGGTGGTGGTAATAACAACGGTGGAGGAAATGGGAAAAAGGGTGGACCCGGCGGTGGTGGAAATATTCCGGTGCAGATGAATCTTGGCGGTGGCGGTGGTGGCGGTGGAGGGAAGAAAGGTGGTGGTGGTGGTGGTGGGAATAATAATCAGAACCAGGGTGGTGGTGGTGGAGGAGGAGGTCAGAAGGGTGGCAAAAATGGTGGTGGGCAACCTCAGGGAGGTAAGAATGGTGGTGCTGGTGGCGGCGCCGGCGCCGGGGGAGGTGGTGGTGCCGGCGGTGGTAATCCGAACTTTAATGTGAATGGGGTCAAGAAAGGGGGTGGGATGAATGATGGGCTGGGTGGCATGCCAAACATGATGGCTATGAATGCTGGTGGTAAAATGGGCCCCCCAGCAGGGGGCATGCCTATGGGCCAAATGGGACAGATGGGTAATGTACCAATGGGCCAAATGGGCCACATGGCTGCAGTCCAAGGTCTACCTGCTCCGGCAGGGATGAATAATGGCGGCAATGGAGGAGGAGGTGGTGGTGGCTACTTCCAAGGCGGCGGCGGTGGTGCTGGCGGTGGAATGGGTGGTGGGGGTGGTGCTCCACCGGGTGCCGGCCCGGAGATGATGGCTGCGGGGAACCCGTATTATCAACAACAAATGGCTGCAATGATGATGAACCAACAAAGGGCTAATGGAAATGAGAGGTTTCAACCAATGATTTATGCTCGTCCACCACCCGCCGTTAACTATTGGCCACCCAATCCATATCCTGCCTATGGTTACCAGCACCAAGCCCCGCCGCCACCGCCTCCCGGAGAGCATTATACCGACGCATTCAATGATGAGAACACCTCAAGCTGTAGTATAATGTGAGCGTAGGCGGTGCCGGCCGGCGTGTCGAAAAAATGGAGAGGCATGAAGGATGGTTCATAAGTCAATAGTTGAAGAACTTTGATAGTACAACAACTTCCTAGTATTTGATCAATGCATAATATACAAGAAAGTGAAATTTTACTTTGATCTTCTAGTCTTTTTTCTTTTCTTTTTTTTTTTCTTGAGGGTTAATTTTATTAATCCTTAGTTTTTAGATTTAAGTTTTTATAATAGAAAGTCATGATAGGTGAAAACTAGTATATCAAAGTTTTAGGGGGAAGGATATGATGGATGATGAGATGTTGTAAGTGGAACTTGGGCTAAATTATGATGAATGGAGATGTTTATAATATATGTTCATATGCTTCAAATTTCAGAAATAAGACAAAGCTCTGAGATTATTCTTCTGAAAGTTCTATATATCCAAAGAATGAATAGTGACATTTTATTCATGTTGAATCTTTTAAGTCAAAGTGTGACATTGCTAGTTGATTCTCAAGTCAAAATGGAGCAAATGATTGAGCTTCAGGAGTTACTTTTATAATCATTTTAGACTTTGGTAGTTTGGTTGATTTGAGTTTTTTTATTTCACACATTTTATGTAAGATTGTCGGAGTTGTATAATAAAATCTCATTAATTAAACTGAATTTACAATATGTACTTGGATCTAAAATTTAATTGACTAAATTATAATAACTTCTGATAGTGACTGATGCGACTATGTTTTAGTGACGTTCATAAACTATCACAGTGAATTAATTGATTGTTATTAAGTCCCGCATGATATGATTCTAACTGTAAACAAAAATCAGGTGCAACATATTGGTAAGACACAGACTGTATTGTCCTTCTAGCAAGTTTTGGTTTTGAATTACACAAAGATAATACTACTCCCTCTGTTCCAAAATTATTGTTCAATTTGTGATTTCACTTTTAGTATAATTTGAACTAAAAATGAAAACTCAAACTGGACAATAATTATGGGACGGAGAGAGTATTAATTTCTTCTAAATTATGGATATTTAGTGAATTTGTAATAAATTATACTAAAAGTGAAATCACAAACTGGACAATAATTTTGGAACAGAGAGAGTATTAATTTCTTCTAAATTATGGATATTTAGTGAATTTGTAATAAACCAAACGTCACGCACTAGCATAGTTAAGATTTCACGATGGAGGTGTATGAAAATAACTATATACATCATGTTATTTCGGAAATTGAAGTGAGAATGAGATAAATTTAATATTATGATCATTCTGTTCCGAAATAATTGTTCGGTTCAGATTTTTACTTTTAATTAAATTACGAATAATATTTTTTTGACATATTGTAGGGTGTTCACTGTCCGCAACAATAACTAATTCTCATCACTCATGATAAGCACCTTGATGGACGGGAGAGTTGACCAAAAAATTTAAAATTGCTCAATGTATTTGGAGAGATTCAAACCTTCTACCTCTATTTGTGATTAAGTGTAGAGGAGAATTACGAACATTATTGTGAGGCGGAGAGAGGATGAAAAACAAGCACAATACCCCAAAACTTTACATTGTCCTTCCTTGTAGAGTGTATATATAGGGATAGGTGGGATAGTAGCCGTATATAGGGTTCTGAAACGCAGAGGAAAAATTTGAGGAAAATTGGGCATGTGTTGGGTTACTCCATTCATGATCATCTTGTCCTCCATATTTGTGACTGAAATTATGGAGGGAGTAATGTGAGTGGGACACCATGTTTATGAGAATTTTAAATAACTAAAATTAAAAATAAAAAAAATTCTCAAAGCGGGGTCCACAACTGTTGAAAATCATACTCACAAGAGCTGGGCCCACGGCGTCAAATGTTAATTTATATATTTGCAGTAGGGAGGAATTAAATGTTGTATATGGCTTTTTATTTTTTCTTTGTCACCAATGCAGAATTAACGCCCTCGTGGCGGATACTCGACCTTTTTCATGTAATTGTTCATTTTATTTTATTTTATTTTGATTATTAATGTAAATATAGTTGATAATTCGGTAAAATGATCTATAATTGTGTAAAGATATCTATATTGTCTGTAGGAAAAAAAATTCAAATAAATATAAGTTTTTCGTTTGGAGAAGAATATGATTTTTAAAAAGATATTTATTTTTTGTGTAGACACTTTTTATTGAATGGATTTTGGGTCTTTTTCAGTTCTAGACAGCTGAGTGTGAAGAAAAACGAAATGATATTTAGGAATGACAGTGTCCTAGGCGTTTTTGGTTAGGATCTGAGCAGTATTTTCACATATAATTCTCGAAAATTTTTTAAAATTACATTTATTATCTTTCATTAAACCAAAACTTCAAAGTCACTATCGATTTATCCAAATTCGAATATATATATTTTTCCGAAAAGTGAGACTTTTTTTTTAACAAATACTCCTTCCGGTTTTTATTATAAGGCATTTTGATTTTTTCTAGGTTCTACCTAGTACGTATTTTTAATTGACAAAAAAACTTTAAAAATATTTCATAACGGTCAAGAGAATACAATAAATGTGAATATATATTTTTAAGATTTTTTTGATGATTGAAAATGTGTATTAAGTGAAATCTATGACAAATTAAAATGACTTATATTAAGGACATGAGAGATTATATATCTTGAGCCTCAAGTATGAAATTGGAGTTGACCATTTGATTTCGACCAGAATCATTAGAAATTTAGTAGATAGAGTTGGTAGGAGGAGCAAGGAAATGTTGTAGAATCTATATAAGGAGCTTATTGTTCCAATATTTGAGGCCTTTAAAAAAAATAATAAAAAATAGATTGCCTTACTATCTCCATCCTCCATGTCAACATGTCATTTTTCAATTTAAAAATAGTAATAAACCATAAATATATAAGATGGAGAAAATAAGAAAGGTTACTTAAAAAATAAGTATCTATTCCTCAAAAAACAAAAAAAAATCTAGAGTTTTAACCGTTTACCGGTGGCTCAAATTACCCCTATAATTGAGAATTGAGACTAGAGTCCAAAAATAATTTTACTTATGTAAAGTGTGGTAATTAATTAATTTGGGGTGGAAAAATGGGGGTGGGTGAAAAGAATTTTGGAGTGACAAAGACAAGCTAACTACTCAAAATTAATTTCTCTTGGAAGTGTGTTTTTTTCAGAACAAATCTAACGGCGTTGACACTTGACACGATTCCGGTAAACAAAATGGTCTAGTCTTATCAATAGAAAGCGCATCAAAGTTGTTCTGGTACCCTAAATTCATCACCCCTCACAAGTCTTTTACGATGTCATTGTCATAAACCTACAATAACAACGTTAAAACTTTCGTTAAGTTATAAACATTTTCATATATTGACCCTTAGAGTAAGATATAATTATACAGATTTAGTTTCAAATGGATGAATCTCTTCCGCTCAACTTCGACCGTCATTGGATTGCCAATTGCAATGGTCACATTGACGATGAAAAAAAAATCTACCCCAGTGACGAGGATTTATTATTATTATTATCATTATTATTATCATTATTTTGTTGTTACAATATGACACAATTTGGTACATTTTTGTACAAATTGGCCCTTTGGCTTCTTACATCGTTTTCAAAGGATGACTACTATACTACTACTACTACCCCCCACATCATTGGTCTAATCACACAGTCAGATCCATTGAAGTTTGTAGGTCCTCTTCCTCACTTACTAGTAGTTTTCTCAAGATCTACTCACTCGATTTTTTTGTAAAAATGGTACTCTCACTTTGAGCATTTTCAATTTTATTACTATCCTAAAAATTATAACCGAGTTAGTTAATCGATAAAATCATTCGTTTACTAACACACTATTTGTAAAATATAGTTAAACGTCTCGTATTTGCTTTTCATCTTTAGATCAAACGCTTCTCTTCGTATCTTGAAAATGTAATTAACGCTTTCCTTCATTATTCAGTGATTTATTTTTCGGATAACAGGGTTGAAGATTCAACAAAGAACGATTGATTATTTAGAACATAGATAAAAGGTTTTTTAAAAAAATGTGATATATCGATAATAATTCATGAAAGAAAAAAAAAAGAAAAGAAGTAAATTTGCACTAGATGAGAGAGACATTTTTGAGGGCACTTCCTTTGTATTTTTATAAACGTATATGAAAAAAATCAAAATCAACATCAAAATCAAAATCCGTACATTTGGCCAACCATTGTGTTACAAGTTACAACCATGCAAAAATTGTATTCTTATTAAAACGACAAACAAAGATCGTGCTCGGACAACAGCTCAACTTGAAACTTCTCGTGATTAAACATTGATTAGACACTAAGACAACGGTTAAAGATTAAAGTAACAAAACACTTAGCGTGATTACGGTTTTGTTCCCACAGCCGTTTTCTTTACTTTCTTGTACAAATTTCAAACTAAAAATTTGACCAAATCCAGTAGGGATATTATCTTATACTTCAAGGAAGAACAACGCGAAAGGTAGGAGAAAAATGTTTGAGGCGTGCATGTTTTGAGATGATTAGGGTTGATTACCTTTTGATTTGGCCATGATTATGAGATAGTAACAATTAAAATACACAAAATTAGTATGAACCGTATTCATTCTTCAATCATGTCAAAAATCGGCTCAATATAATTGAGCCCTTAGTCACGTTTTTAACTTCACTAACTTGAAAATGTACAAGGATATATTCATATAAATTTTAGTACCACACTATTCTTGGCGTAAATTGAATAGGAGTCACGTTTATCCGCTTTCATATAGGTTTTAAGTTCGAGTTTATATAAGAGTCATGTTGTTTCAGTCACGTTTATTCTCAGCATAAAAAAGAAGGTTCGAACTCGTTCAAAACTAAATAATGGTTAGAAAATTATTACTCTCTCAAAAAGGTTCTATTTTTGTGAGACGAAATTAGTTTTAATGTGATATGTACTCGTTTAATACGCTACATGGTCACGTAAGTCGGGTTATTTTATTGGAAAAGAGTTCCTTACTCCTCAAGGGTTATAGAATTATGGTCGGTTCACGTGGGTATAGAGTGTCACTAATCGTGATTCGTGATCTTTTTAGCACGTCCGTTTTGAATTAAGAATATACTTGTATTTTGTTTTTTTAAGTTGTGGGTTTCGATGCGTATAGCATGAGAAAAATGACTTGTCGTAAATTAAATGAGAAGTAACGCATGATAAAGATCGTTGCGCCATGATCAAAAAGCCTCCAAAAAATCAGAAAAAACGAACTATTCAAAAGTTTCATTCAATCGAGAAGTCTAGCACGGCATACATGTTTGTAAAAAACGTGAAACCTATTTGATGTTCGATTAAAAAAAAAGAAAAAATCATGTACTAATGAGAGTGTGTTAATATACGTTACTAAAAAGTGAGACAGAAAATCTCGTGTTTACGGATCAATTCCCAAAAAATAAACCACGTTTATCATCCCTCATTTGAACGGCGGGTGTGTGACTTGCATTAGTTCATTTCGACAATTGT